GACCCAGGGCAGTATCACTGCTACCAACCCATGGCAAAACTCTCTCCCCAGAGCTTTACTCCAGTATCCCAAAGAAGCACAGTAGATATTTTTAAAAATAGCTGCAAGATTGGCCTAAAGCATTCCAACGATGCAAAGCTTCTTGTGGCTTGAAAGTGGTCTAAAGACCACTGGTTAGCAGAGAGGCAAGGCTACAGACAACCAGAGCTATTGGCTGTAGGAAATCAAGTAATTGCCCAGTTAAACAAGAGAACAAACTCAGTATTTTCTCCCCATCTTACTCTTGGTCTTGCATACTGCACTATACCTAAGTAAGACTCAGGGAATTCACTGACACCAGAAATTGAAGTTCAAGCAGTTATGAAGATAAAAACAAAGCTATGCATTAACAAAGCCCCAGATGCTAGCCTCGAGACTTGCCAGCACTGACCGTATTCTGGGAGCAGAGGCACACGTGGCTGCACGGGATGGGGCTGAAAGCGACCCAGCCAAACTCCAGCAGAAACTCAGCACAAGATTCTTAGCCTAGCTGGTTTAAACGCAAGCATTTTGTATCCTCTGCTTTGGCGCTTTGTGAGGAGGACACTGGACATACAGAATACCAGAATAATTCTTGTTGCTCAGGTTTCAGAGCTGGAGCAGCATTATGAATCTCTTTCTGACGATGCCAGACCATGTTACACCCTGACGATACGAACGAGGATCCCAGGATTTGCTTTCAGGCCCAGCTTGCTGTTTGTCACGCAGCATCCAGAACCATCTTTGCCTTTACAGTCACAGCAAGGTTGATAACAAAATGGTGAAATATTACAAAGCATGATTAAGAGCGGTCTTCAATGCTATCTTAACAAATTGATCAGTACTTTTTATACTGAAATGTAGTATATTCTACAAATATGCTTAATGGGGTCACAGCGATTCCAACAAGGTCATATTCTTGCGTACTGCCCTGCCACAGCCCAATCTCGGCCAACGAAGATACAGCCCTAGGGACAGTCTCAGCACTCAAACCCCAACAGGACGCTGTAACACCAGCCACGAGAGCAGCAGCATCGCTAGTCAAAACGAAGTCACATAGGAAGTGCTGGAGTCTCATCACCCAGAGAAGCCTCTAGCTTCTAAGTCTCTCTCGCAACACAGAGGTAGGTGATGCTTCCGCACTACACAGAAGCAAACCCGGCTGGTTTATTCACTACTGCCCGTGTGAGCTTGAGACATTTGGTTTTCCTTTGGAGATGGTCTGAAAGGGACCCAGCAAGAGAACGACAACAGAAAGCACCAGTGTTGACCACAGAGCCATTTCATAAGCCCTCAGAGAAAGTTTACCAGCCTCCAGCTCTTGCCAGGACTTACGTGCGCAGACAAGGAGAGCTTCACCAACAGGCACAGCTACCACCAAGCACCATTACCTCCAACAACCAGAGGGTCTGGAACCAGCCAGCCCCAGGCCCTGTGGCCACCCCAACCAGCCAGCTCAGCCCTGCCTGGTGGGGCCAGCTCCTTGGAGCAAGGCAGGTGGGCACTCCTCGCTTCACCAAAATACAACTAGCTCTAGGCTGAGCGATGCTGGGTTTCACAAGTTGTTTAAGAACACTTTCCAAATCCCCGCTGGAACACTTCACTAGCTAGAAGTGAAAAAATGTTAACATTAACTGGAAAAAAAGACATTTTTAACCTAAAAGATCCTATAAAATACACTTTTCTTTTGTAATGAAATTCAAAGACTTGCTGATACAGCAAGTAAGCAGAAAATCGTTTGCAGGTTTAGAGACATAAAGCAGAAAAAGCTGCTAATTAAAGCAGCTAATACCACTTAAGTACAAAGAGTCTTCTGCAAGAGACTGGAAAGCTCTACTGTTGAAGTCAGGAACACTGAACTTTCTAAAGACATTTTAAGTGGCATAGTTTAAGATGCTTTTCCTAAGTGTTAGTGATGTTAAACGCCGCAGAACTTCTTGCACAAATGTAACAGCACGCCCCAAACCTTAACATCTTCCCTAGTCCTCAACCGACAGAAAGGAAAGCAAAGCCTCCTACGTGCAGCCAGCCTAAACAGCTACGACCAAACCACATTCCTACAGCAAAACCCTGCTCCACAGAAACCAAGGAGCCTGTCAACTCACACTAACCATATCTTGTCTCTGGTTTACTGACAGACTGTATTGTTCAGAAACTTAAAGAACTACAAAGCAGCCTGATTAGTTGTATTTATTTGGTTTTTTTATTAGGTTTATTCTGACTTAGAGTTTCTATTACTCCAGCTGGGTAAACCACATTTGAGAGTAAGTTTAACTGCAGGACTTCAGTTTCAGCCAAAATCATTTTTGCATTACTTTATTGTAATATAGATTTAAATTTAACATTTAAAACTTACTTCATCAATAAGCAAGCCAAGCTCAGTAGCTTCAGTGCAGGATGTACTTTATGTAACTTGCCGCACATTCATCTTAGATTTGATGTACATGGAGAAGAGACCGGTCAAGGATTCATAGGAAAAAGCAGAAGTAAGCACCATTTTTTACCAGACTAAACAGTTCTCATTTCACTGTTTCTTGCAGAAAATCAACTCACTTCTGGTTCCAGGAGCTACAGTTTGGATAATAGCTGAAAGCTATTTCCAGAACATCCATTTTCTACACTGGCACAAGAAATAGTCTTCAAAGCAACAGGTACTGGGTTTTTGGGGTTTTTTTAAGAGACAACCTATTCTCCTTGTGTTTACCAGGTGAATACATGCATTTTTGATCATTCTGGCAGAGGTTAACAAAGAGCACACAACAGTTGGGGCTAAATGAAAAACAATTAAGAAGTTGCCAAATATTTAAGGTACAAGAAAAAAAAACATCAATGCAACCAGTTTAATGTCTAAGCCTGCTTTTTATTAAAAAAATGGCACAAATTAAATAAAAAGCAAAATTTAGTTTTAGATGGTACTAGACTGAATTAACGCTTCAAATCAACAGGATTTATTTCACTGAAAGGAAGGGGAAAAGTAATTTGAACATGCTCTGTGTATTTGGGCTAGACCAGAAGCACTGTTCTAGTTCAGCCCATACACGCAGAGCTGATACCAGTATGATGTTATCTTTACCACGTGTAGTAGGAAAGTGTGTTAGAAGTTGCAGAGCACAAGCGTCTTAGTTGTACAAGCCAGTTAACGAATAAACAGAAGAGCTGAAGAATGGTTCTCACACAGGTCCTTTCTGCTCAGGACTCCAGGTTTTTCCTTTTGGAACTGAAAAATCTCTCTGCCAACAACATAATAAATACTAACATATTTAGATACCATCTTTAAAAATCTTTGTTGAAAATGCAGTCTCCAAATGAAAACCAGCTTTATGCAGTATTAGTATTGTATATAAAATAAGTCTTATGAATCGTAGTTAATAGCAGTAACTGAAATGAACGTATACTGCATCTTCAGGTGATGTGCAAGTTCAGCTATGTAACACAGGTCTTTCAAACAGTTTTTACCATCTTGCTTTCGACAGTTCTTACACTTGTCCCATAAACTACAGAACCTCTAGCTACAGTATTGTGCAACTGTTGACCTCTTCAAGAGCTCTTCAATGCAAAGAAATCTGATGGAAGCACCACAAAGCAAGGAAATCACACTCTTGGAGAGCCTCAAATTCTGAGAATTTAACACATCTTTGCTGTCTTGCCTTGACTGTAGAACACCAACAAGAGGACACCAGGGTAAAAAGGAGCAAAACTACAGTGACATCTGCTTCAAACGGGGAAAATACAAAAAAATATCTGACTCTACAAGCATGTAAGCCAAAGTCTTGAAGAGCTGGGTATTAACATGGAGCTCAAGGTGCCTTAACTTAGCTAGAACACCACAATTTTTTTAGTATTGTGAATCCAGCACAGCTGCATTTCATCAAAGAATCAGCCTACACTTCCAGTTGAAGCATACATACCACCTCACTAACTACCCCTTCCCAACTTGCAGGTTTGGAGCTCTGCATTTTCTTGTTCCTCCTGTATTATTCCTTCCCCAGGCAGAGATTTAGAGGCCCTAAAAGCCACAGTTCTCCCCCAAAGACTTCCTGCATCTACATGTAAAAATAGTTAGGATGCTCTTTGCGACTGACACATTCCGTTCCCCATTCAGAAACAGATTTGCAGCAACTCAATCTCTAGTTCAGTTTTAGATTCCTCTTAAGTTACAGCAGCCAGAGTTCAATCCTATGAATGTAAGCTCAACACAAAAAGAAAGCCATTTATCCTTTTGAATTCATTCTTATGGCATATTTATCCAGAGCTTTATTATCAACTTCCAGTTTTAAATTATTTTCTTAGCACTTCACAGAACCTGCATGTCACTCCCTCCTGAAGGAGATGGCATCACACAGAATCTTGTTTAAGTCAGTCCAAGTTTCCACATTGTGGCCAGAAGTCTTACTTGTTAGAACACACCCCTTTTCCAACTATTCCCCCTCATTCCCTCTCTTCCCACCCCTCCCCAGCAATGGGCAATTACTTCACAAGAAATGTAAAATGGGATAAGGGTGTACACAAAACCTACCCTTCACTAATACTGAACAGAAAAGCCTATTTTCCAATTACAGGACATCTTTCTCTAAATTTAGGTCAGCACTGGTGCAGTCTGCACTGTGTATGGTTACCACAAGGATAATACCAATAAGTACATATATTTTCTCAAACTGGTTTAAAAGCCTATGAAGTTAATCAGGGAAAAGTTTAATCTTGCTACTTCAGAGCACTAAAACACACAAAGTGAATCCAATAAAGATCCTTGTATTGATTCAATATTAAGTATTAACTGCATGACCATCATAGCACCTCTTTACATTATCACACAATCACCAGAATTATCAACTGCTTTTAAAACTAAAAAGGGTACAGTCCAATATTTATAACTTGCACACTGTTACTATATAGAAACTAGGTGCATGGTACAGTGCTGCAAAAATGGAAGCCTGCAGTTTTGACAAAGATGCCAAGTCATGTTGTAGACAATTTCAGTCAAACTGGCAATACTGTTTAAGCAAATACTCAACACAGCAGGAAATAAAGGACAAAAAAAAGCATTCTATAACCAAATAAACATCTGAAATTTCCTTTCCCTTTAAGAATACAAGTAAGGTCACTTTTAGCCTTGGAACGGATACATGTTTGCCTATGATGATCTTGCTAACTACTACACAATATCTGATGTCCTCTGCTAAGAATATAGTTTAAGAAAGCCGCAGTTACAAGAGGCATCTAATGTAATATCTAAAATTTTCTTTATGGCAATTACTGAATTTGTCTTAAACAGTGAATATGGAAAGATGGCCTCATGTTTCCTTTTCAATAGTACTCTGAGGATCAAGTGGCTTTCAAGCAGCATGGTGGGTTTGAAATTTTTGCAGTTTAGATCATTCTGTTGCGTTTATGGGTTGGTGAGTCTGTAATGACATCGCCACACTGGGCTGAGGTACGCTTTCTAGTTCCACCATTGTCCAAGTGGAGTGCCATTTCTTCTGATATGAAAGTGTTCAAATCAACATCATGGAGTCCATTTCTCCTTCGACTAGCATTGGAGCCACTGCTCACGTGAGTGGGCGAGCCTGGGGTACTTGAGCGAACACTTATACTAGCCATTGCACCACTAAGACCTAGGGGAAAAAAAGAAAAAGCATTTAGGTCAGACAGTAAAGAAAGTTAGTTTCCCCACATGCGGCAGAAGGGATGACGCTTCTCTGACTTCTAGTGAGATGTCAAAGGCACCTCATATTATTCGCACCACACTTGAAGTCCAGACCACACCTTCCCAGCTTTCAGTCCATACATCAACCCAGCAATTACCAGAACTGCTTTTTACGACATCAAAAGTGAGCTTATGCACCAGGCTGTCACAGCGCACTACAGCAAATGCTAGCTCCGTAAGCATGACATGCTATCCAAAGTGTGTACGTACTTTAAGAGTAGACTATTTCAATGTAAAGGCTTTACATGAGAACAGCAGTTACGCAGAAGGAAGATCCTCGTACCAAGAGCTTTCCAGGCTGACCTGACTTGGTCTTGTTTCAAACACCACTAGCCTGCTCCCTTTCACTCCCTCGCTCACTGTACTTCTAAACAAAACTGCAGTATGAAGGCAGATCTCAGGCAGGTGTTTAAATAAAAGCTTTATTTCCTGGCTGCTGCTATCAGCCAACACATTAGTATTATCAGAATTCAGAAGAGCACTTAAAAACAACAAATAAGCCAAGCAAGCCCACATGATAATCCCCCAAAATTTGCTACTGACAGATCCGATCCAAAACACTGTCACAGGTATCTTGCAATTACTTTGATTTGTATTCAGGTTATTAATAAAACAGAAGTTTTTCCTGTAGAAACAAGGTCACCAACAAGAAAACCACAAGCTTTGTACTAATGTAAACATTACTATCACAACTTTGCAGAAGTGGGACATTCCAAGACACAAGTTTAGCAAGGGCTAGTACATGAAAGCCTAACAATTCCTCTTAATTTGGAATTAGGCTACATTTGTAGATAAACAAGAGCACAGAGATACAATAGCAAATATGTTTGTCTTAAGTGCTTCAAATCTGAGTATTATTAGGAACATACAAAAACATCTGTTGGCCCTAGAAAATCAACTACCAAAGAGCCATGCAAGAAGATGAACAGCAGAACAAGATCTACATCCATGTATTTTTCTAGCAACAAGAACAAGCAAATATTAAGCTGTACAGGAAGATTTCTGTCTCAGTAACCGTGAAAACCTTGAGCTCTGAGGGTCTCAAATGCTCTATACTTTCGCCCAGCCATCACACATCTTGCATGTGTGCAAAGCCATTTAATACACGCCTTCACACAGTCATGCAGGCAGCCAGAAGTCACATGCTGCCAAGCAAAGCCAAACAAAACCCTGTGTCTCAGCTGCCAGCAGGCCACATCAGCAGCTCCAGAAGCTCTGTGGAGACTGCTAGAGCTGCTAGATCAGTCACCAGCAGCCTCCACTGGAAGATAAGTTCTAAAGTCACCTGCAAAGGCAGGCCGATACACACCAGGACAGAGCAGGCCCAGGCCATCTCGCCCTACTGTACTTTCCTGCTTTTTTTTTAACCAGCCCCCCCTGCCACTGATCACTGGTGCTTTCTTACAGCTTTTGCTTACAGCTCTAAGTGGCATTCCAACATGACTCAAGAAGCATGGTCTGAAGTCCGACAGGAACCCTGCAGGTTTTATTAATATTAAAATTATCTTTCATCCGCAATGGCAGAAAGTATTCAGACAGCAGAAGCTATTCTAGTGAAAAGATAACTCAGAAACAAGGTTTGTTCCAGTACTCTCTGGATTAAGGTCAAGCTGAAATTCAAAACCATTATAAAGAGAGGCTTCTATACATCTACCAAAGTAAAGCAGCGAACAGGATGACACAGATGTACGATCAAAAAGCCAATTCAGATACCACAAACTGGATAAGCCACCAATGAGCAAAATTTGGGGAGGTAACAAATCACTTCACAACTCAAAGATAGCAGCAACTTTAATTTCAACTGGCATGGCATACATTAGGAAAAAACATTAATTCATCCTATACAGGTAAATTGGAAAAAATCTGACAGTGCACAGAAAGTGACATTGTTTCAAATCCAAATTGATCAGATTCCCCCCACATGACTATTACAAGCAAAATTGCTCTGAACACACAAGTTCAGCATTGTCAGTTCCACTGAAAGTCAGTTTACACCACTTATCAGTCATTTACTCTTATATTATACAACCCATAAGCAAATGACCAATATACTAATTCAGTTTTATCATGACATCTTTTCATTGCATCTAGTGCTGAAGGAGATAAAAATTCTTCTAAATAAACGCCAAAACTGACCTGTGATGTGAGAATACATTTGTTGGCTTCAGTCAAGAACTACATTTTTAAGTAGAGCCTTTTCAAGTAACATGCATTCTTTAAAATAGTAGATACGAAAGTCAAAATTAAAAGATGCACCTAAGGTGTTGCAGCACATTCTGAAACAGACTGCCAAAGTCTGCAAGAAATGCCTCGAGCAGCCACTGACTTTTCAATACTTAGGTAATATTGAATCACTGTACTTCTAAATACACAAACAACCTTCATGTGATATTCAAGAAGGCAAGATCTTCAAACCAACCTGGTGTCAAAGGCAGTAGAGTAGTTTTGAATTAATTTCTACAAAGGTAGGAGTACAAGGATATTGCATCACAACATGGACTGCTGGTTGCAGGGTAATCTTGCATCTCACACAGGTATTAAATAATGAACTAGTGCGTAACAGTCATTACCGAGTATGCTAACAGACCAAGTGGCAACTTGGTATCAGTTACTGGCAGTTACCCATATCACATAGCACTACACACCGATGCAAGCGAGCAGAACTGTCAAACGGAACATTTAGGTCACAGTTTAGGACTGGGTAATCCAGCTAACACGAAGAGTCAGAAAGGAAATTCCAGGCATGCACTGAAATATCAAGTTGCCATTTCATGGAAGCAACATCTTTGAAGACAATCAGCAACGCAATTGAAAAGATCTATTTTTCATTGACAGACAAAGCATCTTTCAGGAGCTACGATCCACAGTTCATTTTTTTTCTTGGAAAACTGTTGTAATGCACAGAGGAAGCCTCAGAAAACCCATTTACTGTGAATTATTCCGAGTTTAAGTTTTCAGTGGAATCTGAGACCTCCTCTCAAAGCATTTAACCATTTAAAGCAGTAAAGCAAGCAGTAATTGATACTAGGAAATAGTAAGATGACATGACTGTTAGCAACATCATTTCACAACCTCAAATGTCTATATTGTGATTAACATGACCTAATCACAGGCATATCAGTTTTGTCTATACAACCAGCACAGAGATTCAGACAGCTCCTAGAGTGTCTTTACTTCTTTCACGATTTCATGACCACCCCTGAAGTCACACACTGCTTTCTAAAGGAGACATTTCCTTTTTTACTAGAGGCCTTTAAGAAAGGACACATAGCTCTTTCTCCCTTTTTAAACTTGCAGAGATTGGAGAGCATTATCAGAAATATTTTGCAGTACTTGTTACAATCTCACTCCTGCCTTATCTTTCAGCCATCAACAATATGGTGTTTCATAGCCAGTAATGTCACAAAAACTTTTATCTGACACTATATTCTAAAGCATTTATAGTACTATCACAAAAAACTGCAGCAGAGAAGAAACTGTCACCAATGCTAGCTAATTTATAACTACTCTCCAAAACTATCACGTGATTAGAATGCTTGGCTAAAAATGTGTTTTCCAGAGTAGGAAATACTCAAGGTAAATAAAACTGTCAACTCAAAATTAGCAAGTTTATCAACACTGGCCTAACAAACTGTGAATGTCATTTTATCTGCACTATAACCACGTCCATAATAAGCACGAGTTATTCAGGTCACTGCCACAGCATAATATACTGGATAACTACCGTTCAGTACAGTAATAGTATTGTTTCCCAGAAGTTTTAATCAGGAAATATCAAAAAGAACATTCACGCGTATCTAAGCATGACTAAAGCAGGAATTAGTTAATAACCCCAGATAAACACAAAATGGCATGCAGATAGATCCTTGTCACCCCTATGTCATACTCACCCTTTCACAGTACTGCTCAAAGAGCAAGTTTTAGCAGTACATACCAACACATAACTCCGACAGCTATATATACACACACAACCTTTAAGTTAAACTCAAACTAATCTGAACTCTGGTCTCCCAACCCCTCTTCTACCAACTGCTGCTTCTCCACTCTAAAACTGCAATATAAAACATCAGCAGTTCATATTTCGAGAAGCAAGTAAGAAGGTCTAATGAAAATTTAGGCTTTTTAAAGGGGCCAAGCCACACACTTCTACATGCTAGAGCAAGGGCTTCCCCCTTGCAAAGAGACTGAACCACATTAACAATATATGTATCAACATTAAAGCCAAGAAGCAAAAGAACTAACACTCCCCTCACAGCGCCGTTGTCCATTCACATCATTTTTAGTGAAGAATGCTCAAGTCTAACGCATTTCAACCTTGCATTTTCTCCTATTATGCTGGGAGAACAGTTCGTGAAGCATGGAGCACATTCCACACTGAAAGACCAAGGCATCATTTCAAACACAGATTGTGCACAGCCACCAGCGCTGCAAGACTTGGTGGGCTAGCTACAGCCAGGCAGAAAAATGACCAGGCACATGTCAGCTTTCAGGATTCTTACGGCTATTAGCTCAGTTAGTTGCAAATGACACAATTGCATCACTTCTCTCGCACAACTGGATACCGCAGTACATATCCAGAAAGTAGATGAAGATACACCCATACCTACACTAACTGCAGTGACATTTTAAGGTCTGGTGAAAGTTAAGAACCCAACTCTGTATTTGAGATGTTGAACAATAAAAGTATTTTTCCTCTATTATCATACCTTGAAATGCTAAGCAACATAAGAAGCACAGCTCTACAAGTTTCAGAAAAATCCACCTGAATTTCAGGGTAAAATAGCACATATCACCTTGAGCTAACGACTCAGTTTTTCCTGAAGGCTTTAATTTCTTTTCAGGTATTCATACTTCAAGTTTCCAGCCATGTTTTATTTCCAAGGTTACCCATCAGCACACTAATAATGAAAAGCTGATACTGAGGGCATAGTTTTTATTTACCAGATTTTACACTCAAGAGGCTACTCAGTTCCAAAAACTCATTCTCAAGTACCCTTCAGTTACACGAAAGAGGTCAGTAACAGCTGCACAGCATACATGTCAGAGTTAGAAAAGGTAGACCACATACACCTTAAACATTCCTGGGCAAGTATAGTTTTTTTGTCTTGAGCATTTTGCTTTTAGCTACTGTAACAAGCTTTGAAAGCAGAACAGTAGAGAAGAACTAATTTCCTTATAGCACAAACACTACTGCTAACTAGTATCACAAGATTAAGTTTCAGATTGAAAATTCCTAGCTTTCATGATCTGTCAAACCTTGCAGAGCTATAATACAGATCAGATGTATCTAGGTTTGAGATAGAAGAGGTAGGACTAAGAGTCCCCTTTTAACAGATTTCTTTGCAGATGCAGCATACAGTTCCAGGATTGTACTGACACCTAAAGACACTCTTCTCTAATGTTTTAGTCTAGGGCATATACCTCAAATTGTGTTTGATATTCCAGGAAACATTTAATTATTAGCTACTCTGTTAACACAGCTTCTGTCAAAGTTTTCAGATGTGATTACGAAGCATTTGGAGGTTACACAACAAGAATACAGCTATTTCCCCCCATTAAAGAGGAAGATCAGCAAGTTACAGGACCACAATCTTTAGACATATATTAGTACCTACTTCTGAGAAGTCAATAAACCAGCTCTACTTCAACTGAGCTTTGTTTGGTGTTATAGATTCATACAGCTTCACTAAAAGAGGTCTTGGCTAGAGCAGCGAAGTTTAGCATTACCCACCAAATTCAGCCCATCCACGTTACCAACAGAAAAATACTTCGTTTCTACAGGAAGCCTACCAGTACAAAGCCTCACTCCTTTACATGCCAGTCAAAAACTGCCCTTAAAGCCTTGGTCCTGAACACTTGCCGAGACTGCTACTCGCTATCATCAGGTTCTCATGTTTCTTTACGTTACTTAGAAGCAGCACATCACTTTTACAGCCTTCCAACACTGTAGATAAACATAGCCCTACAGAGGACATACAAATTTACACACACCTGAAGATCCTACACAGGTTTCAAAATCAAGACAGTTCTGAGAAGCCCTAAGATAAATAGGACAGTAGTCTGGAAGACAGGTTAACTGCAACTTCCTTAATGTTAAAGAAAAGGAGGGGAGAAGCTGGAGGAATGCTGACATTGTAGGCAATAACCTAAAAGCAGTTATGAGGCCAAGTACAAGCCTAGTCACTAAAGGATTTGTGTCAAAGACCAGATTGAAACTGGTATCAGGAGAACCTAATCCAGAAGGTGACTGACATGCAATCCCATCAACCAGCTGATGAAGAGGAAGGGTGCATTTCTAGCCCCAGCAGCAGCAGTACTGAGCAGGGAACTTGCCACAGTCCTCATGACCCTGCATTACATTATGAAGTATACAAAAAAACATTTCTTACTTCATGGTTCAGATTCCCATGCTACAGAGAAGCAGCTTCCATAAACCACCTCTATACAAAGCAGAAGCTAAGAAACAGTGCAAGGACATGACAAGAGCCATACTACCAATAAAAAAGCCTCCAAGCTCACTCTGCTCGAGACCTCACTGTGCTGAGGTGAGTCCACCCAGCTGACCCTCATCTGAGAGTAAGCCTTTGTAGCTATACTCAACTGCACACCAGATTCAACTAGTTTCAGAAAGCAGGATTTAAGACAGTGTTTATCATCAGGTGAGAGCCAGCTTCTGCAGTTCTCCAAGAAATTATCTTTACCTACTTGAATAAGCAATATTGGTGCACAGAATTCTCTAGCCAGCTTCCAAGATGAGAACTGCCAAAAACTACACAACTGGGTGCAAGCATGCTTGATGTAAGCAGCAACAGAGCAGCAAACAATACCAGAATTAGGCTGTCACCTAGACAGTAACAGTGTATGGCTTACGTATCTTGAAAAAACACCACAGCACAACAGAAGCAAGGACTGCATTTTCAGGAATCCACTCATCTAATTAACTCACTAACTCCACCCCCCACTGGGTATACTGAGACAGTAAAAAATTCATTTAGGTTTCGCAGGGTGTACTCTTAGATAGCTTGAGTTTTTACTTTTAGAATGGTCTACTATTTATACCTCCAGATATCTGCTGCCTCTTAGAATTTTAGAAGGCATAAAACCCACAGGTGAACTGCCTCATTTCATCTCAAGAACAATTTTCAACACATTTATCACTTGCTAGGTAACAGTCCAGTGCAGAATAAGCTATTAAATATTCACATCTGGAAAGGAGAAAAGACACACCACCAACATAGATGGTGATGGCAAGGAAGAAAATTCAGTGTGACACTGGAAGACATTCAAGACTGAAAGCTAACTAGACCTAAGTTCTGAACAGGACTCAACTATTGCAGTGACATGCAAGTCAAGTACCCTTTCTAGGGTACTTCACAGAACACTAAACCATATTATCCAGCATATAACACCACGGGTACTAGAGTGAAGTGAGGTACCCCAGAGAGAAACTTCAGACACCAAATTCCTCCCCCTACCCCACATGAATTTGCTAGTTTTTGCTACTAGTCAAGCCTTAATATTTAACTAGTTGCTAGCATCATATTACCATTTTCCAAGAACTCTGTTTACTTTCGTATTGGTATAAATGCCAAGTCTCTTCATGCTTCAGAAACACTACCAGAAGTTGATACTTTACTGCCGAGTTTACAGCTGTAGAATATTACAGATCCGAGCCCCATTTTTATACAACATTTTTCCTCATTCGAAGTATTTCGCTATGCAACTTTTTAGTAGCCACATGCCTCTCACATGCAAACACTACTCCCTCCAACAATTAAGGAGATACCTTCATCTGGAGCATCAGGTACACAACATGTTATGACACCAACAATGGCCAAGAGCCAGACGTGCTTTAAGAGCCCCCACCCAATGTTAACCAAGTAGTATTGAAAAAATTACTGTTACCATGCAGAGCTATGGCTTCACGGAAGGGTTGCAAATCAGTCTCTACAGATGAGCTAGTTTCTGTCGAAGTAGCTCGGTTAGGGGATACTACAGTCAGTCTTGGGGGAGCTCTAGAATTTCTTGGAGGAGGAACTTTTCCACACAGGAAGCTGATCAAGTCTTCTCTACGAATAGTTCTTCTGCGTTTTTTAACCCAAGCTAACACATCCTTATTCCGACGCTGATAGCCAATCTGAATTCCTACATCAAAGCTTCGCTGATGGGTATCCACACTTTCTGCAAGAAGACAGAAAAAAGTTTTCTTAGTAAGTGTTACAGATGGAGCAATGTATAGTATGGCACATCACTGATACAGCTTCCTATCAACCATGGGAAGGAAGCAGATCTTCTGAAGTTTACGGCAACAGTACCAAGTTACCCGTAACAAACTAGTGAGTATTGAAGAGGAGCCATATTAAACTTAAAGAGAATATTAGCTAAAAAAGTACTGCTCCCTTTACAAGTGAAGTCAACCGCAACTCAAGCACCACCTAAACAGCATTTACCACAATTCAGGTCAACACTACAGCACTGTTTAAGAAACCATATTGTATTAAAACTAAAAACATGCTTTGAGATTTGGTCAGTCTGAGGAAGGTACTTAAATCAGACAATGCATTTCAAGAGGCATGCTTTTCAAGTGCATCAGTGCAGTCAAGAAATGCCGCAAAAACAAAACGAATAGCTGCTTTTCTTGATTCTGATAGGCAAGGAATTTTCAGAAAACTCAGACTTCTTTAGAGTCCCTCTAATTTCACCTGAATTTCAACTGCAGAGGTAATTTGCAGGAGGCCATAGTTCTGAAACTAGTTTGAACACCAGTGTCCCCAATGCCTTTCAATGAGGCAACATATCATTTACAAAGGAAGTCTAAAAAAATTTCCTCCCCTATTTAAGATCCCATTGCAATTTTGACATACAAAGCTTTAAACACATATTACTTGCAATTAATCCTGCTACAAAATGCAATTTCATTCTCCATTGATGTAATTGGTCACCTGTGCACATCAGTTATATCTGTGCCTCTAAGCAGCACTCTTAAATGCCTTGCATTACACTGCTTTCAAACTTCAGTAAGTACATTTCTGTCTTAGTTTTAAGTATGAGTGAATTTCAGACAACAGTAACAGGTGGGACAAACCATATTCTCTACACAATTAAGCTCATCTTGCCTGTCACAGATTTGTTATCAGCACTTTGCCAACAGCTATCTCAGTTTTGTGAAAATTACTGCTATGTTAGCTCTTGCTCCATTAAAAGACATCAACATACCCACACCGATTTCATTTACTTGATTTCTATAATTTTTTTTTAATCTGGCAGAGCTGATTAAGACAGCTTTTTATATTCTTGCTTTACTAATGAAGTCAACATAAGAGCCATTTTCCCAGAACAATAAGAAGATATTTACTTCAGAACAGCTGTCCAAGATACTGGTTTACAGGTAAACAGCGACATACACACCTAATCCAGTTCTCACACTCAAAAAGCACAAACATAATCACTATTAAATACTATTCTTAGACTTTGAATACAAGGCACCACTGCACGGTTCACAAAAGACAGGACTAAAATTTATACTATCAAAGAGCAGCATGACACAAACTACCAAAAAAAGAAAAACACCTCAAACTGATCACAGCTAAATCTTGGGGCTTTTAGAATACAAGCTGTACAGGTATACACAGACTACGCTTAACATGTTACTTTTCTACACTAAGAGTATTTTGCCTGTGCTGGTTTGTAATCAGAAGGCTAGAAGATTTACACGTGCTAATTCCCTGTGAAAGCAACAGCAACATGACAGATTACTCCTCCAGCCATTTTGTACTCCACAGCAGAAGGATCCATTGCACTCACTCATAAGAGCTCCCCAAAGACTTCAGAGCTAATTTGGAAACTAACAATATCCCTTCAATCACTTCCCAAAATGCCACGAGAAAGTCCTTCCGAGAGACAAGCAGCCCAGCTTCATGTCAATAGCCTGCTTTCCTTGGATACAAGAATGCTTCACAAAGCACTGCCTACAAACTAGTTATAAGATCAAACACACTGACTGTTCATGCAGCCTGGACAAATTTCAAGCATCATTACCCTGGGAAAGATTATATTTTTACAGTAAAAGCTACAACTATTTTGTTTACAAAGTTAAGCTGGCAAAATGTAAGTCATCAAGTTGCCTACATTCTGAAATTGCCAAGTCAAAACTAACATTACTAAACATTCAGCTTCTACTTTTTTAAATAAAAATAAGATAAATTGCAGGCTCAGAAGTCTTATTCTAATAGGAGCCTAAGACCTTCTGCAGTGGCCTTAAGTTCTAAACCCTGCGTTACAAGCCATGCCTTCACTTCTTCAGGGCAGTCTGGAAGACAATCAAATGTCTTTAAAATGAGGCCCAGCAGCAATTGGAAAATCATGATCTAAGACCTTGACAGTGTGGTATTAAACTTCTGGTTTTTTTCAGAAAAAAATGCTGACATTCAAGACATGACATTCTCATCATGCACTATTCCTTGTGTAGCTCTTGTTGAAAGAACTTTGATGCGTCAAAATTCCAAAGTATGAGATCAGAAGCCAGCTGACAGGGCAAGCAGCAGTTCACCACACCAAGTACTTGTCCAGTGTTTTGGCAGAGTCCTCCAAAACACAACCATTACTGAGCATGTGAGAAACAACAGGAGATTTTTAAAGAGCCACATTCATCACTAGGGAAGGCAAGTTCACATGAAGAGACTCCAGAGTGCCTGGTATGCCAGCACCTAGATGGTTCTACTTGTGTTCTCAACAAATTTCTACCCCCTTGGGTGTTCACTGAAAGATGGCAGTTTTGAGTAACTGAGGTACTTCAGCACTTCCCAAAGATCTGTTTTAAGGGAAAGATTTGTTCAGGGTGCTGCTTTTTGAAGTGTTACATTATACCTGACTAAAGACAGCTTCCTGCTTAAACTCTAGTTCCCTGATCACCACACACACTCTTCCGTTAACTACATTACTGCAGAAAAATAGGCCTCATCTTGCCTATAGCACAAGTAATCAAATGATTTAACCAAAAATAAACAGCCTACTGCTGCAAAGATGCCGTAAGGGAGAGCAATGCCATTTGTAAAGATGACTATAATTATTCCAGACAATTTATTAACACTACCTGCTGATACTCCAGCACCATGCTCAAGTGACTAGCATTCCAGTCCACCTTCTAGTGACCCACTCCCTCCGGCCAACATCTACCCTGTTCTGAGATACACTGCCCCTGTAGAGGACCTATGACCTACACACCATTCAAACACACTTTCTGCAAGAGTCAAGTCTCCAGCAGCAAGGGTTATGCATCCACATTTCCTCCTTGCTCTGCCCACATCTGTCAGAAACCTGATCAGCCATCACAAAAAGTTCGACTGCTTAAAACAAATCCAAAATGGGAAAACTGGAGACAAATGCAGACCATGCAGGTAGAACTATAATACCGTATAGACCATAAAAAAACATACACCCCAAAACTAAAAAAAAAACCAAGTCAGAAAAGCAACAATTCGGAATTTTAAAGTTTTTTCCTTCCTAGGAATGGAGTAACAACAAGAATCACACCATGTCAATTAAGGCACTGATACAGATACAATTTCTGTGCAGTCTTCTAAAAAAATTAGAAACCACCAAACAACTCTTCTGCAGACCAGCATTCTTGTGACAACCCAAAGAAAAGCAGAGCTCAGAAACAGATCCTGACAGATAGAAACACACAGCAAAATGGCAAAGCACAGCCACGTGCAGAGCGCACTCTTATCAAAGTCTTGGCTAACACCACTCTCTTACAGCCTCCCTGGACACAGTCATCATGTCATTCTAGTGGTTAAAAGAGTCTGGGTAGCTTACTGAAGAAGCCTCCCTGTCACAAGATGATAAAATTTTGTCATATAACATCTCTGCAGAGTTTTACAAACACTAAACCCAACCTATACTTCACCACAAGCGTGCATGTGTTAGACTAACAGCCCAACATTTAATAACATGATGCAATCTACAAAATGCAGGAAATCTAAGTACTGTTCAGTAAGCTGCTGCACTCTTCCCCTGAATTCACAAGGACGAGCCACACACTCAAAACATCCTTTTCCAAGGGTCTCTAAAGTAAAACAGCTTTTGAGCTATTAGTCACTGACATGAGGCAACAGAGAAGATTCAGCCACCGTCAGCTAAAGCGGCCCAGGGAAAACTTGCAAGATTCAGGAAGCAGTCTCGGGTTAGATTTTATCGGGGTGAATAAGAGACATTAACAGGCCCTGCTCATGAGTAAGCCGGGGCAGGCGGCGAGCGGGGTCGGCTCAGCGGGGAGGGCGGCGGGGCGGCTGGGGGGGAGGGCGGCCCCTTACCTTTGTAGAGGTTCGTGACCGCGGTGGCGGCGTTCTGGAAGGGGACCCAGAGGGAGGGCCCCGGCT